TGCTTTAGTGTCAGTGCGCCTAAAGATCTGAAAAGAAGGCCCACTGTTGGGCACGCCAACCTTCGCGGGGGCTGTGAGCGATCAGATTCTTGCCGTCTTCGGGGGCTCGGAAGAGGCCACTATGGGTGCGAGGTCCGAGAGGGACGTGGTTGGCTTCCCTGTCAAGCAATCAAAACCCTGAAACCCATGTGCTGCAAAAAGTAGCCTACAAGTCCCTCAAACCTGAAGCCCTAAACCTCAAACCCTAAACCCGAAACGCTAAACCTCAACCCTGAAACCCTAAACCGCGGTGTTTGGCGTGTGATGACTCGAATGCAGGGCAAGGTGCACCGACCGCGGGGAGATGATATGGGCCGTTGGCTCTCGCACGGGTATCAGACCAGATCTGGCGGCGCTTCAAGGGATAAAAAAATCCTCAAAGGTCTCCTTTGGGCGCTACAGTACGTGCTGGGGGATTAGGCTTTGGGGTTTATAGGGGTTTATAGGCATCTAGGATGTGTAGGGCCTCCGGGCCCGAAGCTTCATAGGGTTTAGGTTCAGGTTTTGGGGGGGGCTTGGCGTTTAGGACCTGGTAGTTCAGCTGGTCATCTAGCTTCACGCTTCGGAAAAATGATGATGCAGTAGGCTTCAGGGCTTTCAGTCTTCGATTTGGGGCTTAGGACAAAAATGCCAGGGGTCATTCTGCAGGGCCTCACACCATTTGTGATGTCTGGGTTGCTGTCAGACAAAACATTCGAATGGCTTCTCCATTACAGGCTCACGCCTCGAAGAAGATCCAAATCAAAGAACACCCACCCAAACCAAAGAGGCCCCAACCCCAACGCCAAAGTGCCAAAGCCCATGCGAAAATCCCGTAGACCCCTTGTTCCAGAAAAGGTTGTGAAATCCCTTTGCCACCTCTCCGAATAAACAAGCTGTCCCAACCGTGGCGATGGCCGTTGCGAAGACATCGAACTCAGCGCCGGGGCAGTGGCTGTTCCTGGCGACTTAAAACCCATCTGTGGAGCTCGTTTGACTTGGGTTGCAAGGGCTTCTGCAAGGTGTGATATGGCTTTATGAGGATAGCGTTTTGGGCTCAGGGAGCTTACAAGCTTTATCGTCGGGTCACGGGTTTGTATTCAGAACCTGCCGAACCTACCCTAAACCCTAAACCTTAGTGAAAGTAGGTTATGGCAGTGCAGGTAGGTGACCCCCCCAGCCTCAACCCTAAACCCCAGTACCCTTTTGAGACCTAGGCCCAGACCAAACCAAAGCTCCCAAAGCCATAATAATAATAATGATAATAATAATAATAATAGTAAGAATAATAACCCAAGCCCAGAGACCGATTCGTTGCGTTAGAAAAAACATCAAGCGGAAGCTGGCGAATTTGGGATTTGGGGTTTAGGGGTCAGGGTGTCTGGGGTTTAGGGGTTTGGGTGTGTCGCGGATTATCACACGTTTATGTATGTTCATGACTGTTTTCTGGGTCTCCTCCATTAATAAAGTCTTACCGGGGGCCTGCGGGATTGTGGGGTTCATGTGCCGGGTTGTGTTGAGACAGGGTTTCGGGCTGGCGGGCTGGAGTTCTTTTTTCTGTTTAGGGTTCAGGGCTTTAGGGTTTAGGGTTTAGGGCTGGCTTTCTCGTTGAGGGTCGATGTAGGGTTTAGTGTGTCGGTGGTTCCGTTACAGAAGCTACCGAAAGGAAGAGTCCATTACAGAAAGAGCACCATCCAAACATGCGGAAACCTGTTAGTTCCTTAATGGTCCTTTTTTGTTAGCACGGTTTTCCGGTACAGTATATATTATAACATGATTCCACACATCGAACACGGGCGCCACTGCTACTAATCATGCCGACCTCTGCTAAGGCCCCGGACAAGCCCCTATCATGAAGCCCAACAGGGCAGGGACATCCGTATAAAATATTAAGCTTTTAGGGTTTAGGGTTTAGGCTATATGAGCTTTCTGGCCTTGTCCCGGCCAGGGTGCAGCGAGGCGTGCGGCACAACTCAGTGGTTCCGGCACACGCTGCACACCTGCCCGGCTCACAGACTTCAACAGAGAAAGTCGGTCGTTCAGGTCTTTTCGACTGGCTAGGGTTTTTACAGGCTCTGAAAGCAAATCTAAACGGCCAAGTTGGGTCCTACAAGGCCTTGTATGTATATATGTATATGTATGTGTGCGTATATGTATGTATATATATATGTATATGTATATGTATATATATATATGCATATGAAGGTGTTTTGACAGCTACCACTAGGGACCAGCGTAGATATGCTAGGTGCCTACTGTCTTCTTATTTAGAAATTGTTACTGCAAGCAGAAACCAACCAACATTTAAGCAAACCTAAGTCCTGTGAAAACCGATTATAGGCCCATAAAATGCTACAAAAACACGTTACACCCTACACCCTAAACCCTAAACCCCAAACCCCCCTACGATAAGAAGCATCGGAAAGCCATCCCTGGGGCTCCAGCTGCTTGAAACAGTAGGTTACTAACCATACAATACCTGTAGTCTCCATTGTAGTTCCTTTTGGGGGATACCTTATAAGGATTTATATAATTGGCTAAACCAGACAAAAAGGAACTACAATGGTCTCTGGGCATTGAAAGCCCTAAAGGAAAGCCGAGCACCTGCTCGATCCGCGACTACCGGACTGTTTGGCGATCCTCAGGCTTTGTCGAAAAGAGAACGTCTGAATTTAGGGCTCAGGGTTTAGGGTATTTTTCATGTTTTAACACCGTTTTCCGTCTGCTCAAGAGCGTCCGAAATCCCTATAGGGCAGCTGAATCCTGCTCATTCAGCACACCGAAACGTAGGGGTTAGGGTTTAGGGTTCAGGGTTTTGGGGTTCAGTGTTGCTTTACCGTTGTTGTTCGGCGGCAAAAGCTGGAGCGCTGGGGTATAGGAACCTTTAACTCGATTCTCATGAGTTCACAACAACCTCACCCAAAGAGGTTCTCAAAAGCCGCACAGCTTGCAGACCTAAAGTGGTGAGACCGTTGTGTGCTTTTCAAGACTACTATGGATAGCTGATTTTGGCAGGTGTCGGATTTCGCTGTTTGATTTTTGTTGTTCCTTTAACGGACGGGCCTGATCTTCGCGGCGAGGGGGGGTAGGGGGGGCTGTCGGCTGTCGGTCTAGGGTCTATCGGTTTAGGGTTTTAGGGTCTAGGGTAGTCATAGGCTGTCTATGATGAGAGGATCTGTCTAGTTTCCTGACGGCTTCAGATTTCTGCTCTTTAAACTCCGACATTCAAAGGCAACTACATTCGATTAACCTCTTAAGGTTGAGAGTTATGGTTTGGAATGTGTGGCTTCATAGGCTGTGGCTACGGGGTGTAAGACTTCGCTTTTTCGTCATGGAGTCATTCCATGTGACCCAGAGCTGAGCTGTAGCATGCTTCTCGCCTTGATTATAGATAGCCCGCTCTGGAGCTACATTCATACATACACATACATATACATACATGCATACATACTTGCATACATACGTGCATGCATACATACATACATACATACATACATTACCTGCGGGTATGCAGGCGTTCATGTGACAATCTCATCCTGAACGGTAGGGGTTTGAGTGTAGGGTTTTGGGTGGCTAGTCCATGCCGTACGACTGTCGCGAAGCTCGCTGCTATGGTGATAGCTGTATTGTGTGCGTGTTTCGGTCTTGCTCTGCGGTCGTCATTGGCGCGGATGCTACCGGGCTACTACCACTTACCAGTTTGAGCGACATGGCTTTGTCAAAAAACTTACTTACCGCTATGAGAAGTGCTCTTTTCTCTGGCATCAATACTGGCAGCAGTAAATAGGAGCAGCAGTAGCCAATATGATGAGCAGGTTACTTGTCCAGGTACAGTACCACGACTATCCTAGTTAGTATCACTAATTACAGACATCGCGACCAAGTTGCCACACAGATGAAGGATTGCATGAAAGAGCCGTTCTTACTGGTACGATTACTATTCATCAAACAGCCGTCTTCTTCATAATCTTAACTGCTTGCTGTTGCCGGGTTCTTGTGCCCCGTGGCTCTCATCATCATTCGGGTGGCCTCATGGTTTACGACCAAAGCCCCCTTTGAACACTCTTCGCCAAGGCACCAGAGCCCGTGCACCGTCGTACAGGGGGCGCGAAGCCTTCGCTGGCGACCTCGGGTATCTGCTGCCCTATAACCCCTAAGCCGGTTGAGGGTCGTCTTGGGGCTTAGAAGTCGGAGCTCTGGGGCTTTGGGCCGCAAGGCTCATAAGGGGCTGAAGGTTTCAGGTCAAACTTTTGGGGCCAGGACACTGGGGTGATGTTTGGCCCTAAACAGCAGAACATTAAAGTTACATGCGCAATTTGTACTGACGTTTTGACTTCTTTCGGGTTCGGGCTTAGGGTTTGTCCTTGGAACAAGTGGCGCAAAGCTCTCCTCCTGCCACAGGCGACGGACGATTAATAGCAGCGCGAAAGGTTCGGCGGTCTTGGTAAGGCTTCAGCGCCGAGCACAGCGAGGAGGACGCGATCTCGACAGCAAGACGGGACTTCCCTGTACAGCTACCTCCCCGACCCAGCCCGTAGGCACCCTAAACCCTATGCCCTCTGCCAATGTTTCAGCCTACACCGAGAGTTTTTGGAGGGGCCTCGTCCCGCGGAACAGGCACATAAAATAGTCTAGTTAAGGGTCCAGGGTCCCTTTAACGTTTTGCTTACAAGGGTTGAGGGTATAGTCTCTATTGTAGTTTCTGTCTTAATGAACCAGTTTTTGTTGTCTCATAGGATACAATCGGACACAATCTAACCATAAAGCTGTTCACTAGAGCAGCGAACTACAATGGAGACTTTTTTTGTAGAGACTTATAGACTTGAACATTGCATCCTAGAGGATCAGGTCATGAACATGTAACATCCAAGTTTTAGATTAGAGTTTAGGGTGGCCTTGCATTTAAGGCCCAAACGATGAAGACTCAATCACCCCGGAAATCCTCCACCCCCCAAGCCCGAGCCCCTGAACCTTCTGCAAGCCAAAGACCCCTTTTAGAGCCTATGAAGCCCTCATAAGCTCCCTCCTTTCAAACTCCCGAGAAGTGCAAACCCTCAGCTTTGAACGCCAACTCTGAAGCCCTTGAGCAAAACACCCTGACGCCACTTTTGACTTTTTCGATGATTAACCTAAGACCTTGACCCTAGACCCTGGAATCCCAAACCATAATTATGCTCTAACCCTCCCTTAGGTCTCACAGTGCCAACAAGCACTGCCACCCCCCGCTCTCGTGTTTTTGAGTGCTCGGCACCGCCCAGGAGCTCCCTGAGTGGCCCATGCCGCCGTTGGAGCTCCTTGCTAAGGCCTTACCTACGGTCTCCATTCAAACGCCTCATGTTACCTTCAGGTTGGCTAATCCACGTTAGTTCCAACAAGGGCGCGCAACGGAGCCTACAGGTCCCACGAAGGGGGCTTGGTAGCATTTGATCGGCGATAGTTGGGTTTGGATTTATGTTTGTGGCTTAGGGCATTAGGGTTCTAGGGTTCACGGTTCAAAAGGGTTCTACAAGGCTGACTGTAAACTTGGGGTTTCTGCGGGCTGAAGGTTTAGAGTCCGAGATGTGAGGCTCAGTTTTGGCTTTCGTCCTGCTGAAACCTCCCAGTTCGGATACTTTCTCGAACATAACCGACTTACCAAGTCGCGCTCATCATACATTCATTGCCCAAGCAAAAAGGCCTCAGTGATACTCACAAGATTAACAGCGCGGCTGCCCAAACTCATATTGATTACTACAAATCACGGGGCGAGGCATGAGAGCCAATGTGAAGAGTGATGGTGGTCATCCACCTGAAACGAACACAGTGATTAACGAGACCAGTGTGGGCAAACATTATTAGCCTCTGCTTAGCCCAGCCCGTCCTGCAGCTCTCTTTTGAGAGCGTCGATTTTTGCCCGGTAGGCCGCCTCGACGTCTTCCTTCTCCTCGCTTGCAGATTTGGGTCTCACAGGGAACCCCCGACATGAAGCTTCCATTTACGGCTTATTAGGGTTGAGGGACCCTTGTAATCTTTGCAATTTATAGGGAGCCTTAAGCTTTGTGCGGGTTTACGAAATCCAGAACCCCGATTCCACTCCTTGAGCTGCTGGCGCAAGCTGGAGGCAATCTCATCCGGCGCCGGTACCGGTGTAGCCGGGGCCTGTGCTAGCTTCAAGACAGGGGCTTCGTGTAGTTGCTATTATTTGGCCTGGCCCCCGACGTCGATAGCTTTGTCGTAGTAAGTACTAGTACTATAGCTACTAGTCCGGATAGAAGCCCTCAAAGGAGGCCGTTGGAGAACGTACCCTGGACTGGCTACAGACTACAGCCCCTCGTGCGTCTGAGTTCGGCCTCCGCCGACGCTGGCGGGGGAACTGCCAAGGACGGAACCACCCTTGGACAAGTTCAGGGCATTCGATGCTTGCACTTACAGGGTTTTAGGTTGAGGGCTTAGGGTTCCGGTTCAGGGTGTGGGCTTTGAGGGGCTTCGCTGCTTAAGTGGTTGTAAAAGCAAGGGCATGAATAAACAAAGCGGTTGAGGGGTATACTAGACTAGAGTTAAGTAGGGCAATATATAACTCACACGGGTCGTTGTTCGTACCTCTATCCTGTGGTCTGCTAGCTCGGCACAGAGTGCTACTCAGGAGGAATGCAGCTGGCCCCCTGAATTCCGGGTTTAGGGCTTTCAGGGTTTAGGGTTTAGAGGGCGGTCAGAATCACTGCCTACCGTGCCATCCCTGCCCGCTCAATTGCACGCCATGACCGCCATGACGGCAGTCCGGCAGTCCTGCGGCTCTCGGCGAGCGACCACCCCATGTCAGGGAGCGCAAGAAGTCCGAGCATTCGGTTCCCTGCATCTTCCCCATTGGACAGCGTCCCAATCGGCAAGAGTGGAACTTTGGTGAGCGATGGACTTCTGGGGGGCTGATCCATTGGACTCCAGCTCACACATACGATTCCTGCCACGCGCATCTGGGCTGGCAGCACGCGAACGCACTGATGGCGCAATCTGCGATACACGCTTTCTCTGAAGATGCGGGTGGAATGCTTGAACGAAAACTCCATGAGATCCGACGGCGTCATCATCCCGCATGTACCGAGGCTCCTCATCGGAGTTAGAGTTAGGGATGTTCGGGATCGGGAAGGGCCGTAGGGCCGACCGGGCTCCGAACTTGACATGTGTCAGTGAGGCATCAATGGCTTTGTGGCACCTTGAAGCTCTAGGGTTGGGACCCTACCTTACACTATCATTGCTTTGATTTGACCGCACGCACAGGCTTTTGAAGTTTTGCGATTTAAGGTCCCGAAAAGGCAGTTTGTGTCCATGTGCCGTTCGGAGTGCCCTGTGGTTCGGGTCTGTGGTGGGCCGGTTTGAGGGTTTAAGGTTTGGAATCTTTGCTTCGGGGCTTGATAGGTCTCGGGTTTGGGGGTTCGAGGCATGCAAGCAGCTTAGGCGTTGCAACCTAGGTTTCCTGAAAGCCCCTGCAGTAGAATTTAAGCCTATAGTCATAGTAGCACGCTTTACCTTCGAAAAACAGTAGCTTCTGGCAGTTGAAGGAAGCCCGGAAACCACAAATTAACCCAAACTCGAACCCACAGTCCCACAGTCCGAAACGACGCTAAAGCCCTAAACCACCAAAAAAAACAAGACCTCACACCAAAGACCACGGAGTGGTAGCTTATTGGGTAAATCCTTCGGGTCTGGCTGCAAGCTCCAACTAGGCTTCAGAGCTTTCCGGACTTAGAGCTTCAGGGCCCCTAAACCCCCAAACCCTAAACCCCTAAACACCAAAACCCCTATACCCGGTTTAGGGCTTATAGGGTTTAGAGCGCCAAGCAGCGGTCGCGGCGGCACAGTTAGCCGGGGCACACCTCTCAAAATCTGAAACATCCCCCTAAAGCCTCAGTGTCGAGGGGTTTGGGGTTTATGAGGTTTAGGGTTGGGTTTAGGGTTTATAGGGTTTAGGGCTTATAGGGCTTAGGGTTGGGTTTAAGGCTTTTAGGGTTTAGGGTTAGGTTTGTGGTTGTTAGGTTTCAGGGTTTTTAGGTTTAGGGTTGGGCTTAAGGCTTTTAGGGTTTAGGGTTTTTAGTTATAGGGTTGGGTTTAGGGCTTTTTAGGGTTTAGGGTTGGGCTTATAGGGTTTAGGAGTAATTAGTTGGGGCGCAAAAACAGCTTGTTGGAACTCTCTTAGATCACGCTGTGGCTCTCCCCGAAAACATCCTAGTGAATAATCTTCACACTGTGCCACCCAGATGCAGGGACTGACTGGGACCGTGAGTAGGGTGGCAGGTCGCATGATGAATGAAAGCCACGTAGAATCCTACACATATCCCTATCTTTTTACTTACCATACCACGTCCGCAGATCGAGTACTTACCTAAACATCAAAATCCACACTGGCACTGCTACTAGTGTCGCTTCCAGCCGGCATGTTCTTTATGTTCTTGTCGTTACTTGAGACCATTGCAACCAGTATTGCTGCTCCAATTGCCATCTGCTGACCCCATGTTTCAGTGCGCAGTCGCGCCTAAACCCTAAACCTGGCGAAAGGGGGTTTCGATGTTGCTATAAGGCGTCAGACACCCGAGCTTTGGCAACAAGCCATCTTCAAAGGACTGGGTTGGAGGGTTCGGTTTCGGCCAAAGAGAGGGGGATGTGGATATCGCAACATAAGCATACCTGAGACTTGTGTTCTGTCGCCTCAGGCGAAAGGGCGATCAGCATGGACACGACAGAAGTTAGGCAACTCTCATGTTAAGGAAGTCTGGGCGTCCGGTTCGAAGCACCACTACTCGAGCCTAAAACAATCCAAACAGCTTCGTTCGCGATGTTGCTGAGGCCCACAGACCAGGCCCATCACACTGTGAAACTGTTAACCCGCCCCTTATACCCTAGAGCCCACTACGGTACCTACACCCCAACTCCAAAAATCTGGCAGCCCGAAATCTTAGAGCCTAAAACCCTGAACCTGAAACCCGAAAAACCCCGCCGCCTCCGTTGGTGGAGGTTTTGCTGGAAGCCCTGGAGTGTCCCTCCTCGCCTGAACAACTCAGGGCCCGTGAACGTTCGGGCTTAGGAATTTTCAGTGAACCTTTGACGATTGCTATAACGGCACCATAAGGGGTAAATAGCCCTAAACCCTAAACCCTAAACCTTGGAAAAAAACCCTAAACCCTAAACCCTAAAAAAACAACTAAACCCTAAGCCCTAAAAACAAACCCTAACCCCTGAACCGTGGCTCTGGGTGAAGCTTCGGGTAGAGGACTTACAGCTTCACAGCTTTCGGGCCTTTGGGCTCTGGAGGTTTTGGGCTTCAGCGTCCGGGTTTTCGAAGGTTAGGGTTTAGGGGTTTGGGGTTTAGGGCTTTAGGGCTTTAGGGCTTAGGGGTTTAGGGTTTGGGGTTTAGGGCTAAGGCTTTGGGGTTTTCGGGTTTAAGGGCTTTAGGACTTTGATGGCGTCCACAAGCTTATCGCGATGCTTCTGCTGCCAAACGAAATCACCGGCGCGCACACGAGACTGTTTGGCTGCCGTAGACGACATCGCGGAATCAAGCGATTGGACGCACCAGTTCGAGAACGTCTGCACATCTCGCAGATATTGTTGGGCGGACGTCCAAATGTCTTCAATTGGCAGCACAGACACTTCCATGCAACTGCTTGCGCTTGCTGATTGAAAAGCTGCGTGGTTGTATAAATGAGGATTAGCATGATTAGCTGATGGTTGAGTAATGGGTGTAGAATCATAGAATCAATGGCGGGTCTTCTTGAGGTGTAACTGCGACAGACAGATGAGAATGATGAGAATTGACATCACCAACGAAACACCAAGGGACCTACCAAGCCATGACCAAACAGACACCAACAAAACACCAAGGGGCCCACCAATGCATTGCGAAAGAGAAACCCAACATGAGGAGCACAGTGAGGATACTGGGTTTGGGGGCTTTGGGATTTAAAGCTTTTCGAATCTTTCTGTTCCGGTGGGAATACTTATTAACTGGCCTCTTACCGATTTCAAAAGCCTTCTACATTTGCATCTCTTATACCGGCACCCCCTACCCTACCCCCCGCCCAGCCCCTATAGTAGTACTGGCAACAGCCAACCACCACCATGGCAAAATCACCCATCCCACCTGGCGGCCGCTTGCCCCGGGCACTGTTCGGCGGACCCTCATCGCCTCATGGCGGAAGCAGGAAACAAGGCTCTGAAGAGTCCGGGCCTAAAATAAGGAATTCAATAAACTAGGAGTGTGTGTGGCATTGCCTGTAGGGACTGTAGGGAAGATTCGTACTATGGGATTGTGGGTTCAGGGTTTAGAGTGTTCCGGTCCAGAGCTTCAGTCGTGGCTACGATTCTGCTTCCCGCCTTGTCTTGCTGACTCCGTTTCATTCGGAAACTTGTCTTTAGGGGTTTGGACCCCTTGATTGGTGTTATACTGGGAAGCCCTACTTGTAACCCATTGACTAAGTCCACTGAAATGTGAGGATTGCTTAGCGCTAATACTGGCCCATATCAAGACTCCAAAAAGTATACTTAAGTACGAATAGTCTACGGATCCTTACGTGCACTCACCGGGCTGCCTAATTGCAAAACCCAAGACCTAAACCCCAAACCCCCAAATCTTAAGTCCCTGATGAAACTCCGAATGTACGCCCACCAAAGCTCAACAGGAGCCTTGTATACACTCACCTCACTAATACAAACCCCATTTCATGTCGGAACAAATCTATTTATTCGGACTGGCTTGACGCTGCCCTTCCCATACTAGTACTGAGTTAAACCCTCACTCCACCATGTAAAAGATCAGTATCTACTGCGCTGGAAAGACTTGCAGTTCGAACTTAGCCACGGCACGCCGCGGATTTGCCAGCTGAGACCCCTTTCCCATGATTCATGCCCCTGGAGAATCGTGGAACAGCCTCCCCATGACGTGCCGCTAATGATTGCTAATGAGCAAAGGCTGTAAGACTCCGACTCAAACTCTAACCTTTCCCCTGTCATTCTCGCGCCTAGCTTGCCCAACGCGCTGCCACCTGAAATCAGGGGAAGTCTCTGCGTATTTCGAAAACAACTTTGTTGGGGTTCCACGGTTTACGGTGACAAATTTCAGCAATTTAGGATCCAAAAGGGTTGCTCACACATCCTGGCTCAACTTATCTAGTGCTCTATACGGTTTCGACTGAAGGCCTGCTTGCATATTAGTGCACTTATCTAAGCTAGGGTCCCTTGTAGGGTTCCCGGTTAGAAGGCTGTCGTATTATTTTGGGGACCCAAAAAGCAACCCTCGTTTAGAGAGCCACCTGTATGTCACATCTGTTTCTCTTTGGGCTTGCCCTGTACGGTGAGATTGGGGCGTGGACATCTGCACGAGTTGCAAACCTCTGGTGCCCGCA